AGAACTTTGCTTTCACAATCATTTAAAAACACCCATATGCATGGACAACGGATTTCATCTTATGAGGTGTGTTACCTTTAACCATATGGATGATGATGTATTTGTGCAAATTTTGTGATTGCTCTCTGAAGACAGTTAAGGGATTTGTTGATCATCAAATCTTACACAGACATGAAGCAAATGCTCAATTTCCATGTTGCTTCCCAGAATGCAAATGTAAATTCTTAAAATACAATGCTCTCAAAGCTCATGTTTCTCGCCATCACAAAAGACCACATACTCGTTTTGATGATTCGACGGGCACGTTTGTTTGCAACAATACAGACTGTCAACCACAATTTACAGACATGAACAATGTCCTTTCTCATCTCAGGTCACATTTAGCCAAGGGAGAGGTGGTGTGTTGTCCTTTTGAAAAATGTGACAAAAACTTCAGTTTAAGATCAAGTTTCACTGTCCATGTTTCACGAAAGCACAGGACTTCTACATTTGCACAATTACGGATTATGGATACTTTATCTCAGCAACCTTCTTCAGCATTTGATGTTACTGAGGATGAGGTTGATGAAAGTGAATTCACAGACTCACTGACGAAATGTAACGCAAAGTCATTGTACATGAAAAATCTCTGCCTGTTTTATATGCAGCTACAAGCCAAATACCTGGTGCCATCGTCAACCATTCAGATGATTGTGGAGGAATTCAGTGGTTTAAATTATATCTGTCATCAGTACACACAAGATGTTCAGGGAAATACTCAAGTCAAAAACGGCCCTTTCACAATGTGATATTGAATCTGTGGTGCAGACTTTGCAAGGCCAAGATTTACATTCAGCTTGTAATTCATTACTTTCCACAGAATACCAAAGAAGACAGTATTATCAGAAAAAGTTTTCGTACGTGCATCCACAAAGTATGTGTCTCGGTCGAGATGAAAACCGAATCCAACGTTACGCACAGTATATTCCATTGAAGAACACTTTAAAAACCATGTTAATAGACCCAGTGGTGTGGGAGCAGTGTGCCAAACATCAGCATGTACACTCTTCTGTGTTCTCTGACATCTGTGATGGCTCTGTATTCAAATCCAATGACTTGTTTAAGCAGCCTGAGATTACAATCCAACTTATCTTGTACCAGGATGCCTTTGAGATTGTGAATCCCCTTGGGTCAGCTAAAAAAAGACACAAAATGATTGGAGTGTATTTTACACTTGGCAACTTTGAGCAATTTTACAGATCATGCATTGATAACATTCAGTTATCACTTTTGTATTATGAGAGAGACTTTAACTATTTTGGTCAAACCAAGATTTTTTCTAAGTTGTTGGGAGATGTCAAAGAACTTGAAGAGCATGGATTTGTGACATCTTCAGGTGACATAGTACGTGCAACAATAGTGGCTATTTTCGGTGATAATTTGGGGTCCCACTGCATCGGTGGTTACTCACAGAACTTCAGTACTGCCAAGCATTGCTGTAGGTATTGCTTGGTATCTCGCAGTGAACTTCAGAATGTGTGTGTAGACTTTCCCAATCGCACAGTTGAGTCCTATAAGGCGGCAGTGGAAACTCTAAGGACGACCGAAGAAAATGTTGTAAATGGGTTGAAGTTTGACTCCATTTTCAACTCTCTCAACTATTTTCACGTTGCTCAGCCTGGCCTTCCCCCATGCATTGGCCACGACTTGTTTGAAGGCGTTGTAGCTATTGATCTTGCCATTTTCTTGGAATACTTTGTAAAAAGGAAGTGGTTTTCATAGCTGAACAGGAGACTTGCACAATTCAAATATCTGGATTCTGATGCTGGTTCTGCCCCCTCCCAGATATGTAAAAAAGGCAGAAAGTTAGGTGGTCAAGCAGCTGAGAACTGGTGTCTCCTCAGATTTCTTCCTATCATAATTGGAGACAGAGTAGAGTCACAAGACCCATATGGCAACTGACTGTTAAGTTGAAAGAACTGGTTGAGTTAGTGTGTGCTCCCAAGATTACCACTGCACAGATTGCATATCTCAATGTCTTAATACCAGAATATCTGGAAACAAGAAAGGAGCTGTTTCCTGGTGAAAATTTGAAACCAAAACATCATTACATGCTTCACTATACGTCACTCATTTTAAGTCTTGGACCTTTAATTCGTTTATGGTCATTGAGATTTGAAAGCAAACATTCCTACTTTAAAAGAAGTGTGAGAAGAACACAGAACTTCAAAAATGTATGCAAGACATTGTCACACAACCATCAACTTCTTCAAGCATATCTTCACTCACGGTCATTTTTTTCACCAAAGCTTAAAAGTGTTGACTTGGCCACATACTCTCCTCATTTGTACAGTGATGCTGTGAGCAAAGCTGTTGAGACAAGCTTGCTTAATGGACCAGACTTTGTTTCAACACGGGTAGAATACAAGGGTACCCTGTACAGGAAAGGAAACTTAATTTGCCTTAAATGTGAAGAGGAGTATTCTATTCTACAGTTTGGACAGATTGAGCTGATTTTCGTGAAAGATGATGAGGTGACTTTCCTTGTGACTCCCCGCCCCTCAGTGTATTTGCATGATTATGGACTTTATGAGATTTTGTCTGCGACAAAGGAATTAATTTGTGTAAACGCTGAGGAATGTCTGGATTATTATCCCTTAAATGAGTACAGTTTTATGGGACTGAAGGTCATTACTCTGAAGCACAGCGTTGTTCATCTGTAAAAAGGATAAACTGTCCTCTCCCAACAGAAATGGATGCATTTTTAATTTTTATTGACAATGTGTTCCTAAACCCTATAACTTCAAAGCTAGCCATAGAGGGTTTGAACCGCCTAGGTGTGGAGACCATAGATGACCTTCAGTTTTTGAAAGAAGATGATCTAGGTGGCTTTCTAAAACCGATTGAAGCAAGAAAACTAATAGCCCAAATCCCAAGTAAGTTTTCAAATAAATGGTTCTTTTTACATCTACTAGTCAACATTTGAAGCGGATCAAAAAGTTCATTAACTTCACAAGAACAGGTATTGGTTTTAAGACAACTGAAAAGTTTGATCCACTTTAAATGTTGACTTGTGTACATGCATAAAATTGGATGAACTGGAAAAACAACACCCCAGTCTCTTTCATTCTGTACTTTGTTAGCTGTACTCCTTGTATTACAGTATGTCAATGTGTTTCTTGTTTCTGCAGTATGGTTTTTAAAGCAGTTTTTTGTTTATGCCATGTAGAAATTGCCTCCACTCTGCAAAACATTGCCAATGATTTGTCTGCTGAATACATTTCTGATGGATTAGGTTCACCTGCTCCTGGATGCTCAATTTCACCATCCAGCTCTTCAAGTGGAAGACGTGAGTAAAACACTGATACAGCATTAAATAATCCTCAAACATTTTGAAAGCAAAACATGTAATTTGTTAATTCTTGTAATTCATATACAGAGAATTTGCAATGTGAGCATGCCTTTAGCACACGTTTAAAATGTACAGTTCACAGATTCGATGTATTTATATGTACAAACCAGATTCCAAAAAAGTTGGGACACACTCTTGAAATTGTGAGTAAAAAAGGAATAGAATAATTTACAAATCTCATAAACGTATATTTTATTCACAATAGAATATAGATAACATGTTAAATGTTGAAAGTGAGATATTTTGAAATGTCATGCCAAATATTGTCTCATTTTGGATTTCATAAGAGATACACATTCCAAAAAAGTTGGGACAGGTAGCAATAAGAGGCCAGAAAAGTTAAAGGAACAGCTGCAGGACCAATTTGCAACTTATTAGGTCAATTGGCAACATGATTGGGTATAAAAAGAGCCTCTCAGAGTGGCAGTGTCTCTCAGAAGTCAAGATGGGCAGAGGATCACCAATTCCCCCAATGCTGCGGCGAAAATAGTGGAGCAATATCAGAAAGAAGTTTCTCAGAGAAAAATTGCAAAGAGTTTGAAGTTATCATCATCTACAGTGCATAATATCATCCAAAGATTCAGAGAATTCAGATTCAGGCGTTTTCTCTGGGCCATGGCTCATTTAAAATGGACTATGGCAAAGTGGAAAACTGTTCTGTGAGCAGACGAATCAAAATTTGAAGTTCTTTTTGGAAAACTGGGACACCATGTCATCCGGACTAAAGAGCACAAGGACAACCTAAGTTGTTATCAGCGCTCAGTTCAGAAGCCTGCATCTCTGATGGTATGGGGTTGCATGAGTGTGTGTGGCATGGGTAGATTACACATCTGGAAAGGCACCATCAATGCTGAATGGTATATCCAAGTTCAAGAACAACATATGCTCCCATCCAGACGTTGTCTCTTTCAGGAAAGACCTTGCATTTTCCAACATGACAAAACCAGACCACATACTGCATCAATTACAACATCATGGCTGCGTAGAAGGAGGATCCGGGTACTGAAATGGCCAGCCGGCAGTCCAGATCTTTCACCCATAGAAAACATTTGGCACATCGTAAAGAGGAAGATGCGACAAAGAAGACCTAAGACAGTTGAGCAACAAGAAGCCTTTATTAGACAAGAATGGGACAACATTCCTATTTCTAAACTTGAGCAACTTCTCCTCAGTCCCCAGATGTTTGCAGACTGTTATAAAAAGAAGAGGGGATGCCACACAGTGGTAAACATGGCCTTGTCCCAACTTTTTTTGGAATGTGTATCTCTCATGAAATCCAAAATGAGCCAATATTTGGCATGACATTTCAAAATATCTCACTTTCAACATTTGATATGTTATCTATATTCTATTGTGAATAAAATACAAGTTTATGAGTTTTGTAAATTCTTCTCTTTCTTTTTTACTCACAATTTCTACAGTGTCCCAACTTTTTTGGAATTGGGTTTGTATATGTATATGTGTATTTGTATACAAATCTGCAGATTTATTGTACATTTATTGATTTATTGATCCTCTTAAAATTTTGACTTAGTTTAGTTTGATGGTACGGGGCTTCAAAATGTTGATTTTGGAAATTGCATACATTGTGATCCGTACATGTGCCACTGTGGTGATTACCTGGTAATCCAGGTGCATGAGAAGTGTTCATCCTGTAACCTGTGGACATTGGTTTATCTTCTAGGTGACAGTAGCTGTGAAACTTCGTTTTATGACCATGACTGGCATTATAGTTTTGATGTTCCATGGCAAAAAATGCCAGCAAGTTTTATGGAAAAGTTGCAAAATGGCGAAAGGCCAAGTTGCTCTGAGAGAAGACAGTGGGTCCGCATTGTTGCTTCTGAGATTCTGGAAGTCAGCAAATGTCCAGCAAAAAAACATGTATCAGAAATAGCCCGACAAATGGTGATTGCATACCCAAAGTCTTTCAGAGATGAGATTAATTCCCAGGTTGTAGGAAGTGGATATGATTCTCTCCTCAAACAACTGGTGTGTAGAATTGACAATGTTAAAAGAGCAAAAGCTATTAGCACACCACTTTGTGGTACTCTAGAAGTATCAACAACGAAACGAAAATTGTTATATGGTTGTATAAATTCTGATCCACAACTGCTAGTTGGAGAAACATCTGAATTGCAGCAGAAAAAAAAAGAGAAGTTGCTAGTAATGTTTCAAAATAATGAAAGTGATGTAAAGTCAATCTATGACTTAATGACTTCTACTTACACCTCTCAAAGAAACAACATCCAATCTGGAAAGGAAACCAAAGATTTACTTGATGAGTGGCCATATCTTTTTCAGCCAGCAGGAATGAAAGCACACTTTAAAGAGCTCACTGGCATTGACATAAACAACAGCTTTGAAGAATCTGCTTCCAGTAAGTTCAGAAGAATAGTGGACTACTTTCAATTTCAGTGCACAGAAAGAGCAAGCAGAGCAGGGAGAATCCTCACAAAGTATAGAGCTGGAGGGGATCATGTTTGTGGGGCAGTGATGTTGCTGCTAACCCATTTCAAAAATGACCAAGACCACTTTCTTGTGATGGTAGAAGACACCTCTGTTCCAAGTGATATATGCTCAGAACAGCTTCCAGCAACACCATGTATAGTGGTGTGTGGTGGGTATTATTTACTATGATCTTGCAACACAATAATTCCTGGTTTCAGGGGACCAGAACTCACATTCTGTTAAATATTATGTCTTACTGATTTTGTGTTTGTTCAAAGGAGAGAACCCACTGACAGCCAGTGTGTACATGGTAGCAGTAGACCAGATGATTGTAAATGACCATCTCTTGAGTTTTACAGAAGCCCTGTATCTGATGTTCTCTCTTTACTATATATTGAACATCAGTTACCCTGTAGAACTGGGAGCCACACTAGAATTCTAAAATTGCTGCATTTGACTGGGGAGAGTAACAGGTATATATAAGCTCTGTTGTCTTTTATAGTAGAGGTAGACTTTATCTTCTGTGTTTATCATTCATCAATGATGAAGTGCACCAAAGGACAATCATTTTTATAATTAACTCCAATAAATGTGATGTAATTGTCTGTCACCCAAACTGAGTATTTGGTTAAGGCTTGTTGCTGTTTCTGCTCTTCTTTTGGTTTGGGTTTTAATTATAACTGTTTGTGTCCCCACAGATTCAGGTCTTTCAGAGGATTGACATTTCTCTGAAGAACGAGACAGTCCGACTTCAGTGTACTACTTGTGTACTTCAGTGCAGCGCTTTGTTCCTTAAATCATTTTTATTACCTTGTGATGTGATTAGGATTATTTTTTTAAAAAATTTTTATTGAACTAATTTGTGTTCTAAAACATGACTTTTGCTGGGAAGTGTTTTTCCGTTGTTTGATTTTGAAGATTTGCTCTATAATCAAAAGCTGAAGTTGTTTACAGCAATACTCTGGCATAATTTATTGAGTATTTTTTATTTGTTTTTTAACATTACTTCAGTTACACAGTATACAAATATGTCCCTGTACATTTGGTTTAAATAAATAAATTCACTAGAAAAAGATTATAGCATGAAAACATGTAAGCCCAGATTTGCTAACTATTTGTGGCAGTGCACACGTTCTGAATGTGTCAGGGTTTTCAGAAGACATGATAGAAAGGCATGCACAGTGATTATTGCATCTTTATTGGATATGCATTTGTAGGAAATTTCCTGTACAAAAGCATCCCTCTACTCTTTTTGTGCCTGACCTGGCAGTAATGGTTACTAATTGCACTTATTTTTTATTTGGTCGTTATGGAAGGGAGCTGCTGCAGTTATGATCTTGCACATTGTTATTTCTACACTCATAGAAAACATTCAAATTCATCCTGAAGTCATCCTGAAACAATTTTAGCACATTTTAAGTTAGGATGCTTGCTATTTATCTTTAATGAGATGAAAATGAAAATCTGTCTTGTACTCTCAAGTTGTATACATTAATTTGTTCTGCTAACCATAAAGATATTTTTTTCACTAATGTTTGTAACCAAACAGTTTAGTGACAACTTTCACTTCCATGGTATTTTTTTCAACTATGCGCTTAAGTCATGACTCATGAAGGAATACTGTGTCCGGGTTTAACCCTCCACTGATTTCAATAGAGGATACGATTTTTAATCGTACTTTTTACTCGTACTGTTACTTTTTCCACTACAGTAAAAGACCTGGGTGTTATACTAGACCGCAACTTGTCTTTCGAAAATCATATTTCATATGTTACAAGAACAGCCTTTTTCCACCTTAGAAACATTGCTAAGCTACGTAACATGCTATCAGTCTCTGATGCAGAAAAGTTAGTTCATGCATTCATGACCTCGAGACTAGATTACTGTAATGCTTTATTAGCTGGTTGTCCTGCATCCTCAATAAACAAGCTACAGTTAGTGCAAAATGCAGCCGCTAGAGTTCTTACTAGGTCAAGAAAATATGATCATATAACACCGATTTTATCATCTCTGCACTGGTTACCTATCAAGTTCCGTATCAATTACAAAGTACTACTACTGACCTATAAAGCCCTAAATGGTTTAGCTCCTGTGTATCTAACGGACCTTCTATCGCCCTACAATCCATCGCGCTCTTTAAGATCACTAAATTCGAGGCTTCTGGTCATTCCTAGGATATCTAAGTCCACTAAAGGAGGGAGGGCGTTCTCACATTTAGCTCCTAAACTTTGGAATAGCCTTCCCGATACGGTCCGATGCTCTGACTCGCTGTCCCAGTTTAAAACTAGACTAAAGACGCATCTCTTTAGTCAAGCATTCACATAATGCTTACCTTTTAGTCCTCTGCTATGCCTACGGAACCGTTTGCCACTGAAACTGCTTAACGCACCAGTGGGGCTCGACAGCCTTTTAGACAAACGGGTCGGCGCGTATGGTTGGGTTGGGGTTGGGTTGCGGAGAGTTTGGGTTGCGGAGAGTTTGTGAGATTGTGGTTTTCTAACACCTACTCCCGTGTAATGGAAATCATTATGAACATCAGCTATGCTAATTATTTCCCATCTGCCTTTCTGCTGTTATCTCGGGACGCTTGTCCTGAGAAAAATGGCGTTCGTCAGCTCCAGTTTTGTATCCTGCCTCTCACGGGGATTTCGGATGCCCAAACGCCTGTGATGAGAAGACCAACGCCTGTGATGAGAAGACCAACGCCTGTGATGAGAAGACCAACGCCTGTGATGAGAAGACCAACGCCTGTGATGAGAAGACCAACGCCTGTGAAGAGACGACTCAACGCCTGTGAAGAGACGACTCAACGCCGGCGATATGTTATCCCCTTAATATTACATGATTAACTAAATGTATTTTTCCAGGTACTCTCTGATATGCACTTACTGTAAAGCTTCTTTGAAACCCTATGATTGTTAGCCAGAGGAGAACTGGCCCCTGACTAGCCTGGGTTCTCCCAAGGTTTTTTTTCTCCATCCAATCTGATGGAGTTTTGGTTCCTTGCCACTGTCGCCTTGCTTTTGGCTTGCTTAGTTGGGGATATTTAATATATTTAATATTCAACAATATTATTGATCTGTGTTGTACTACTTTCATGTTATCACTGTGAAGCTGCTTTGATACAATCTGTATTGTAAAAAGCGCTATATAAATAAATGTGACTTGACTTGACTTGACTTTTAGTTACGTCTTAAATATTATAATATTTCGAAGGGCAAAAACATGAACTTTAACCATTGGCTTTACTTTTTCAATTCAGCGTGAGGGCAGTAGCATATAGCATTAGCACCTCAGCTCCACCCACGTCCCGCCTCTTTGCCCATTTTATTTTATCCGGTAGTGACGAGAGGTGACGCGCTGCCAAGATGGCGACGGCCGGCCCCGCCCACTTTAGGCTTCAAAAACACTCTACAGAAACCTATGGGTGACGTCACGGATACTACGTCCATATCTTTTTACAGTCTATGGTGTAAACACATGGTGTGGAATGAGAAAGGCTGCTTTTAAAGCTAGGTTGGCTTGTGTGTGTTGTTGACACACCTTGTGCATGTTGTGTGGTTGCAGACGTTTATTGGAGAAGTTTCTTTCTGAGCTCTTTATAATCTGAAAGCATCTTCAATTTCCGCGCCATTCATTTATGAGATGAATTCAAATTGATTAATAAATGCATGCACAATTTATTCATGAAAGTGTTCCATGTATGTTTTACTATCCACAACCAAATGCCTTTCAACTTGTGTGCGCAAAATTTTGAATTTAATGAAGGTGCAGCAATTTGTACAAATAGAGAAATTTCTGTGAATAAATTTTTTTTCTTTTCTGAGTCAATCTCATTTGATTCATTCGGATTTTGAGAGTCTCTTTTTGCGGTTTTGAAGCATTGCACACTTAAGGCCAATTTATACTTCTGCGTCGAGGGTACGCCGTAGTGTACGGCATTGGCTACGCACGGCGACGCCATTGTGAGCATTTATACTTCTGCGTTCAGGTCTTGGTTGCTCTGCAGTACTGCTCCGAAACGCTAGTTGGCGGCGGAGGGTTTTAATGTTCCACTGTTTAGATTCCTCGAGTTGCAGCTAGGTTACTACAAGCAATGGGCTTTATGCTCGGCGGTATTTCCGGTGAAGGTGTAAGGATGCTCGATAAGGTGTAAGGATGCCGATCTTAGAGTCCAATGCAATACCGAGAATTTATATTGAATTTTATACTCCATGGTTATACTAAAGAAACGTTAGTCACAAAAACAGATAAAACAGACACCCCTCGTTGTGTTTATGCTTCTTTTTAAAATTATATTAAATAAACATAACTATATATAAAATTACATTTAAATGTATGAACGTTTCGTTTCAAAGATGGGAGGACGGTAAATTTTGAAGACTCTGCCATAATCCCGTTTTCCTCGGTTTTCCTCCGCTTTAATCTCCACAATCGGAAATGGACGATCATCTTTGCGTCAAATGCGGAACTCATGCGTGCATATAGCCCATAGCGACTGAAAGAGAGCGGATCATGTTGGAGTTGGAGGCAGAAATGAGAGAAGACGTCGGAGGAGATGGTACGTGTGGAAATGCGTGAGAAGGTACGTGCGGAAATGTGTAGGAGGAAATGCGATGCTACCAAGCTGACCAATCACCGATTTTGCGGTCCGCGTCGTCGCAACGTGTAGTTACATTTTTGAGGAGGTGCGCGTATTTAAAAAATGTATGCATTTATCATTTTAATATATATATTAAAATTATAAATGCTTACATTTTTTAAATATATCGTAGTAGGCATACGTGTTTATAAAGTTCATATATTTTAAACCCACTAAAAGCTTAAAGGGGGGGTGAAACACTCAGTTTCACTCAATCTCATGTTAATCTTGAGTACCTATAGAGTAGTATTGCATCCTTCATATCTCCAAAAAGTCTTTAGTTTTATTATATTTATAAAAGAAAGATAGGCTGTACCGAGTCTTTCCGGAAAAACCCGAGCGGGTGGAGGCGTACCGTGTGGGCGGAGTTAAATAATCACGACACGAGCGCACGAAGCTTTTGCGTTGGGAGCGTCTGGAAGCTGTGAGTGACATCCGAAAATAAACCATGGCTAACAATCAGATTCAGCCATACATTTTTGATCCAGAATCAGATCCTGAGGCTGAGATTGAAGAGCGCAGTGTCTTAGAACACCATGTCATGCGCGAGTTTTACAACATTAGTGTGTTGTAAACAGACAGACTCGTGGTTTATGAGGACATGATTTATTTTTACAATAAACAAACTGACACCTACAGTGGCCAGCTAAACAAATGTATTTAAACACACACACCATACATACATCGCATGCTCCATAGATACATTAACTGTATGTGATCATGTTGTTTACTTGCTGTGCTTAACGTTACACGCCGATAGTTACAACTCACAGACATCTGAAGCAGTTTTACTCACCGCC